TATGCATAGACACATACAGATTATGCACAAAACTATCTAAAAGAAAACCTGAAAAATTTGTGTGAAAAAATTGCATGACATGTAATGGTATCTGATACCTGAGCTGAGACATCAATTTTCATTAGTTGAAACCTTATTAAATATGTTTCCTTTGGCAATATGCCTCTCTCTCTTCTCTCTCTCTCTCTCTCTCTCTCTCTCTCTCTCTCTATCTATGCCAAATAAAATGTATTAGTAGAAACTGATATGGACCCATAGGGATGTCTGTACAGACATCAGTATATACAGAGTAGGGATGTAACTGAATATGAATGCATTATTCCATTGGAATGTGTGTTCTTAACAACTACAAATACAGCTACGGATAGGTGGAACTGGGATCCCATAGGACGAAACAAAAAAGGTGCATGTGCGCAAGATTTTTACTTTCATGCATAGCTTGAAAACGAAGCTCTTGGGAAGGGTTGCCAGGTTTCAACAAAATTCCCGCCCAACTATATTTCAAAAACTGCATAAAAAGACTTGAAACTTGCCCAAAATATACAGACATTGGACACGCGAGCTGCATTTTTCAGTCTTTTTGTGGGGAAACAAGTTAACAGTGGCGTGCATGCATTTCTATTTGATTTATAGAGCCGCTGCTCCATATATTCCACACAGACCACATAATGTGCACAAGCCAATATTTCTCTGCTGGGTTCTCCAAAAAAGTAATCATTTATTTATTGAAAAGAAAAAAATTAACATTAACATTCATTGGGCCTTGTTTATCAGTGAATATGTTTACATTCGCATCCAATTCCGTCACCTTTCGGGTTGCAGCAATATTCCAAATACGATGTTTATATGTGTGCAGGAATCCGAATATTCCTGTGTACATGGTTGTTGTGTGTGTGTATTTTCTGAATAAGGTTTTTACATGCAACAAATTTCCGATTACAGGCATATTCCAGCGGTGGGAATTTTTGGGGATTCAGAATATTTTCTTCATCTGAAACGGACAATCAGATTATGGCATTTACTCTGTACTAATTAGAATGTTGCCAAATTCCGATTAATATTGGAATTTTGATGTGCGTGAAAATGTAGTCAGTGTTTTAGTCAAATTGTGTGTAAATGTCTGCAAAAGCCAAACCAAGCTAAATATTTCCACCAGATTTAAAGAGGGTTTGGATTATCATCATACTCATATCCATGTTCAAAATTGACGGGCAGCTATGAAGTACCAGGTGCATGCACGGCACAGCCGATTTGCATTGAGTCATGCCCACAGAAGTCCATAAAAGTCAAAACTCCCACAGCTGAAATGATAAGCGAAAGACAAAACCAGACTTTCTCAGAGGTACTGTAGAAGTGAAAGTTGTTTGCCTCTCATATCTATACCAAGAAAAAAATTACGGAAACAGGAATTAGATGTGAATTAAAGTGAAAAGTAAACATGACATGAAAATGGAGACATCTACTTTAATCCGCTGATCACCAAGCACAACGTACATTAAAACTGCCTTGTTTCATTGCTATTTTTATTCAAAGTGAATCCAATCGAGAAAAGTGATTAAATAACTAAATGCTGCTCTGTTAAAGTGTTGCACTACATTAAAAGAAGATGCCATGGCACCCCCCGAGCCATCCTTTTATCATTCTTTATTTAATGACTGGTCTTATTTATCTTAATTTATGGATTAATGTGGCCCGCGTTCTTTATTTTTTGTCATATTTAATATTTCTGTAGTTATTGCCATTAATATGAAATGACTGGGTTTCACAAAGGTTTCTTTAAATTTGTGTGTGTAATTGAAATTCACAAGCTATAAAAGTCAAGCAACTTTTCCTGATTTACAGTATATGATATGATCAGTTGAGGCTTGAATTGCATCTTCTTATGCGTACGTTTTTTTCTGAAATGATGAGATTTGCATGCATATCCAGTTTCTTGTCTAACTGCATGTACCATCAATTTAGAAAATAATCCATTCATAGCCAGCTTGAGAAATGAGGACCGTTGTGTGTGTTTCTTGTTCTTAAATGATCTTTCTAGAAAAACTTCCCTGTAAATCAGAAAGTCATTATAATGAATCGTCACTTAAAGGAACCCATTTTGATTCCCAGTAGCAGCGTTATAGTAGATTCCAGTAGCATGTCTATCCAATTTCTGTAATATAACAAACCCAAAAACTAAGTAAATGTAATAAAATATTATTATGTAGTGATGGTTGTTAACTATAAACAACAGTTTCCTGGTTTTGGAAAGACACTGTTGTATTAAATCTAAAAAAAAAAAGAAACATCCTCACACTGAACTGCTTTTATTTCCAGCAAATTTCTTAACTTTACGTCAAATTAGACAGAAGATAAAACGCTTTCCAGAAAGTTCCACAGCTCTTCCGGTTCTGGAGTTGAATAAAGTTATGTTCTGTACATCCCTATTTGTTGTTATAATTTCTTAATGAAAAATCACTTCTTCTTCTTCCTTAGTCCCAGTTTTGTTTTGTTTTCAGTTTTTACATGCTTTAGCAGTAGAGTACACAAAAAAAACCTAACTAACCCTTCTGTTCTAGACCATACCCGTTTCAATCCCACTAAATGATTTAGAAGGAAATATGGTGATGGTTGTAACTGATATTAGTAATATATGATGATGATGCTCCTGTCCTGTATCCCAGCTGATGACAAAGCACCCTTCCAAGCGCCTCGGCTGCGGTTCAGAAGGCGAGCGGGACGTGCGCGAGCATGCTTTCTTCCGCCGCATCGACTGGGAAAGACTGGAGAACAGAGAGATTCAGCCTCCGTTCAAGCCTAAAGTGGTGAGTGGAGCAAACACACACACGAGTACACATGTAGATGTGCACATGCACTGAGTTACAACTTTTTTTACTGTCGGAACTAGTGTAGGCTAAGTAATAATTGAACTCGCTTGATTCGCAGATGTTCCTCAAGATTAATTAGTGTTAGGAAATTGCAGTGGTCTTACACAGTGTTGTTGTTTATTTTACTATACCCGCATGTCCAATTGTGTTTTATTTATTTTTTATCATGTTAGCAAAAAAAAGAATTATTTCAACATATATATATATATATATATATATGTGTGTGTGTGTGTGTGTGTGTGTATGTACGCTAGTGGCAGCAGTCTGTCATAGGTATGAGGTCAGTGTTTCTCGGCCCATAAGCATCTGTCTCAGTGACAAATGCAGCAATCGAAGAAAAAGCCAGCCATGCCAAAATTAGGTCAGGTTTGAGTTGTGGGGCTTCGTGACCTGATTTCCCATAAAGCCACAGTACAGGGCTCACTTTAGTCTGGAACATCAGCACAACTATCACCTGGAGTATAGCGTACATGTTTTTTTTTCTTTACACTGAGTGACCCAGACGATGTTTTTTGAGCGTGAAAAAACACTACAGTTAAAAACCGAACTCGTCAGTACGGTTATAACTGATAACTGACCTGATTTGTTACTGTAAAAAATGTTCCTTTTAAAGCAAGCACACCATTTTGCACTTGAAAACATTACTCGGTCTTTGTAAATTCGCTGGTCATATTCATGACTAATACTACGTGGTTTGAAAGTGGATTAATCACAAATAAAATATCCTGCAAATAACCAATATTTACGCTTTTTAGCTAGAATTGGGTGTTAATTTTTTAAAAAAAAAAGGTAAGTTAAATTGAATTTAAAAAAAAAAACAGGCTAAAAAAAAAAAAATTTATAAAAAAAAAAAAGGCAACAACATAGTGAAATGTTAGCAGTTAACGTTATGATATTAGCTACAGTTACCTGATCATGCTTTGTAAAGTTATATGAAGTTCATGCTTTGCAGCTAAGATAAATGAGAGACCTTATTTTATATGAGTCTTTACTTACTTCGGCATATTGAAAATTTTACTGAGGTAGGCCTAGGGGCTCTCTTCCTCAAGTTCAACACACAGCACAGTGTGCAAATATGTGCTACAAGTTGCTGGGTAACAGATGCTGTATCTTCCACTGAATAAAGGTATGTGGGTTCAGGTGTGTGTTGCAGCAGATAGAGCTGGACCCAAACCCAAATCTATTCCGGCTCAATACGACCTCGTTTTATTTTTTATTTTTATTTCTCAGACGTTTGGTGGCAGAGTGCATGAATAATTGATTTATATTATTCGGCTTTATAATAAATATAAATCGGGTGATTATCTGGAACTCAAGACGTGCGGCACACACACTATATACAAGTTTGGAATGGAACCAAGAAAGTGTTCAACAAATCAAATTTATTTTCTTAAAAATAAATTCTTAAAAGTATATTTGATTTCACCTGGGAGGCTTTTCTTAAAGTTCTCAAATAGTCTGAGCTCCTCACTGCTTCCCCTACTGTCTAAATGAAGACTACTTCAGTTCATTTTAAGTAAATACTATTTACTGTAACTAAAAACTACTTATTCAAAAAATACGTGTGTGTATGCGTCTGTTGCTTGGATGTTTGGGTCCAGCAGCAATTTCCTAAGCTCTCCTCTATGTCCTGATGGCGTACAGGTCCTTGATTTTGGTGTGTCCTTCTCAGCTGAGTGGCCCACTTGCTACAATCTGGTCTTACCTCTATTACAGTCTGATCCAGTCTGTAAAGAAGTCAGTGAGCGCAGTCTCTATGATGGCTGCTACAGTCTTTCCTGTATTGCTCGAGAGATACTGAGCTTCCTGAGGAATTCTGACCCATCCCACTCACTCTCACAGTTATTACTGTTTGCACAATCATTTCTGACGAATCTAGTTGGTTCTTTTTCTCAAAATATAAACGAATGAGTTATTTAAACCAGCGTGTCCCAATGCACACCTACAATACAAACTTCTTGTTACTGTGCCTGCTCCTTTGTATTCAGTACTTGTGTGTGGCATACTATTTTGTTGTATGATTAACTTAAACATGTTGTGTTCTGTCAGTGGGAACAAGAAGCTATATATCATCAGTAAATAGCCCGAATATCATTGTCTGTCCAACATCAGTAGTTCTTCGGAAGGTGCTGGGTGGTGGTAGCTCAGTGGTTAAGGCATTGGACTTCCAATTGGAAAGTTGAGAGTTCAAATCCCACTGGGCTCTCAAGCAAGGCCCTTAACACTCCGTTGTATACAGTAAATGTGAATAATGTGAGTTCCTCGTGATATGGGTAAACACTATAAACGTACTGAGGGGTTCTGTGTAAATTATTTTGCAGTAAAAGAGTACTTAGCTACAATTGGGTTAATCCTCATGTCATCTGACAACCTCACACTTTCCAGTTCCCAGCTAGCTTAGTTATTTGTAAAATGTTGTCCTTCTGTATACTGTATTCAGCTGTTAGTCTGAGGTAACTGGGCAAAAGCCTAACACCACTCTGCTACCGCTACAGCACTAGTATCAGTATGTTTCCTCGAATATTGGCTTTCCAATGGAGTCATTTACCTTTTCTGTATGCTTTAATGGACACTCCTCTGTGGGGTTAATATGGCAGATTCTTAAAGTCCTGATAGATCTTAGTAATGTCGGTTCTTCACTCGCGGGGGTTTGGGAAGCAGTTATGAATTTGGATTGCTTTCTTGTGGCTTTTCCAGACAATAGAAAGTGCCAAAGAAATATCTTGTACAGATTAAGAAATGGACGGAGATTAAGTCATTAATCATACTAAGTCGTTTCGAGTGTCCTTGATGTGATTAGCTGGATGTATATGGTTTAGAAAGAGAGAGCTGAGTTGAAATCGGGGCAAAGCTTTACTTTCTGCTACAGTCACCAGACTACATACATCTTCATGTCTGTTTGAAATGTTGGAGTGATTTCATTGCCTTTAGGCCTAATAGATTGGGATTGTAGCTCTATATGTAATATATTAGCAGTGGACTAAGAACAAAACATTAACTTTTGTTTAATTACATTTTATTTTAGATATTGCTTGGGGAAAACCTTTCATGACATTATTTATTTCTTCACTCATTCATTGTTTTTGTTTGCTTGTTTAGTTTTTTTTTTTTTTGTAGGTTTTGCTTTATTCATTCTCCAGAAAGTCACATATAGTCTGTGTGAAGTGTAAAGTTTACTAAGGTATTTGTTTAGTAACGCATTTTTTTTTTTCGTATCGTTACAAATCATTACATGGGCGTTTTTGACCTGAAAAGAGCTCAAGTCCTCTGCAGCCATGTTTGTTTAGATATATCTTGATATAGTGTTGAAGTGTTTAAAATTCCACTATTTTCCCCCTCCCAGTTTTTATAGATCTTCCAACTTCTACCACAGCCAAGTGAAAAATCATTATATGTGATATTTAGTCTATTTAAGAAAATAGTTAGGTTATTTTTGTTCACATTTTTTGAAAAGAGCTGAATGTAATCCATCAAGTTAAGTGTTTCTTGTCAGTTAGTTGGAAGCGCAATTGACAACTCGAGATTACTGGCTGCTGACGAGTCTGATGCAGGCCTGATGCAAAAAAGAAAAGCTAGTGGAGTGAAAATTGGTATTTTATGGATTCTATCAATGGATGCAAATGAGTGAGTGTCTCCGTTTATAGGTCATAGCCTTCAGTGTGTGTGTATGTTAAATACCACTGTATTGTATCGTATATATTTAGTCTTAGCTTCTTGCTTTTTCCTCACCTGATCTACACCAGCACATGTTTATTATGTAAAGTCACAGCGAGATTGTGCAATGATGACGTGTTCTGCCACTTTTCCATTTCAGTTAAAGCAATTAAGCTTTTTCTATACAGTATTGACCCAGAGTCAGTCAGTTAGAGAAAACGGTTAGACAATCTAGACAAGCTGAAGAAGGCTAAATCAGGATAAAGGACGCTACTCTTAATAAATACCAGAGCATTTCCACATATCCAGACCCAACTCAACGATTTTCATTACAAATTATATTATTGACAAACAACTTGAGTGAAAAGTAATATGTTGAAATGCTATATTTACATGAATTGCAGAGTTCAGTAGTATTTTGTACATCTCTTTTTTTTTCCTTTTTCTTTTTTTTTTCCTTAATTACAGTGTGCACTCGAGCTGGCCTGGAAGTTTGTGCAAAACCTTATAATCCATTTTAAAATCAAATCAAATCCATTGGAGTGTTGCATTTGAACACATGCTTTAATTGAAGAGATTATTCATGAGGAAATTCTGACCTTTTGTACAAAGCAGTTACACGGTCGTATTATCACAAATTTGAATTACATTTAAAAAGAGATCTAAAATACTGCAGAGTCTTGATGTTAACTCTTTTTACCGATATGCCAATTGTTTGCTCACACCCCTCCCCTTCCCATCGCCTTGCTCACTCAGTGTCCTGTCTAATCTTATAACAGACTTGCAGCGATAAAATAACTCGTTAATACTGATTAAAAACATATGATTAGTCAATTTCCATTCTGCCGGCACAGTGGAATGCCAGTGTACTGCAAGAAAAGGTTAAACATTCAAGATACTGAACATATGCTTTCTTTGTTTTAAATATTTCAAAACTCCAATTTTTAAAAAAAGTCCAATTTTAAGGAAATTCTAAAATTTCCAATTTTAAATGAAACGGGAAAAAATGGTTTCAGGCTTTTGGACCCCACTGTACCATAGATATAATGTGCATTTCATTTAAAATTGAAAACAACAAAGTAAAATGTTTTGTATAGAGAAAATTGCCAGTTAACGAGTGCTACTGTGTTTTAGCTCAATGGTATACTTGACCTATTGCTGACCTATTGAACTAGCTTGAGGATATTGGTTTTTAGAGAGAGTTCTGGATAAAGGCGCCTGCTAAATGTTGCAAATGTAAAAAATAAATAAATAAATAAATAAAAATGGAAGTGAATAATGTTCCCAGAAAAGCTCTTTAACAGTTTGTAGTGTTATCTGTAAACATTGCAGTTGTATCATGGGCATTACAGTGCTTTTGTCAGTTTGTTTATTATTGTTGTTTTATTTGATTGGTTGTTAATTGTTGTTGCTAATCGTTCACAGTGTTTGTTGTTTGGTTGGATGGTGTTTTTGAATGTGTAACGTTTCCCATCGAAAAAAGAAAAAAAACTTTTGCGATTTTAGTTTAAAAAAATGACTTTGGTTCATTTTCACCTTAAGGTTAAAACCTACTCTCTTGCCTTCGTTTAATAACTCAGTCCTTCTTTCACTCTCACTTTTCTTTCAAAAGAGCCTGACATTAACACAAGTGACTCAGATTCGAGTCACAGCGACCGTGTCATTATTGGCTTCGAGATCTGGATAAGGTCGTTGAAACCTTGTTATTATTTGGAATTACTGACACAGGCGGTTTTTAGAAATGACTTCAGCTCCAAGGCTTTTTGCCAGTCTTTCTTTCATTCCCATCCATTGTCATGGATGCAGAAAGGAAGGAAGGAAAAGCATCAGCTATTTCTGTCTCGTCTCCAGTTCCGAATCTTATACAGTCTGGCAGGTTCACAAAGAGAGAGCCATCTCAATTATTGTGGTGTCTGGCATCTTTCATTTAATCAATCCTTCTTTCACGCTTCCCATACTGACTTTTCTTTAATTGTAAATAAGAGAGAGAGAGAGAGAGAGAGAGAGAGAGCGCAAGTTTTCATTTCACCTGTGATTCCCTGTTGGGTTGGGATTTTGTCTTCTGCATTCTTTTGCTTCTGTTTTCTTTTTGCTAATCCTACCACACGTCTTTATAGGTTATTATAATTCTGTCAGTAGAGTAACTATTTTCAGGATTACTGTTCATATGTATTCATTTATTCTTAAATTCTATGGCAGACTCTTTGATCCAAAGGGGTTTACAATCCTACCCAAGCATTGTGTTAAACGAAATAATGTAAATGTAATCCTGTTATTTGTTAGCCACATTAGTGCCGTAGCTCAGATACAAAACTACATAAATAACTTCAAAAACATCACATATATGTTTTTTTTCTGAAGGACCATATTCAAACCCTCCAAGATTTTTGTGTTCACAGAAATTACCGCAAAAACCAAGGAAACGTTCTGAAATGTTTCGAAATGTTTGGACGAGCTTGCCATTTTTCAAAATTACGGCAGATTTGGGCTAAGATGTGTCATGTGATGTCGTCAAAGCACACCATGTGATGTCATCACAACGAGCATTCAGCCAAATCCCTCTTCGAATCATGTATATTGACCATAAGTAAAGCTTAAAGGTCAAGTACAATTTTGGCAATTCAAGTAGTTTTCTGCCTAAAAAGCACAAAAAACTGCAAATTGCATCACAAATTTTGAAAAATCCACGGTACAAATCAAGCATTTTTGGCCACAACAATCACCAAAAAAAAAAAAAAATCCTGTGGGGATTGTCTATTTAGGGTCAAGAGTAATTTTATCAAAAATGCAAGCTAGGTGCAAGAGGGAGAGGCCCTTCCACACACACATACTTCAACAGAGAGAGGTGCAACTGAACCAGAGTCTTAGATTAAGTTCTAGCACTCAATATTGCCAATATTAATTCATTAATTCATTATAATTTGCTACAATCTGCATATTGTTCTGCAAGTCGTAGAAGGCTTCCTTGCAAAAATAATCATGATTAATTGTTTACATTTTCACGCCCTCTTGCTATCTGCTGATTGACTGCTGCTCCTGCCAGCCACCATTTACCTAGACTTCTTTTGTGCCTAAAGTTGGGGTGTGCTGATTTTTGGCATATCTGTGCCGGAATAGGACATCCTATATGCTTGCGAATTTCATTTTTCACATACTGTAGATTTAATATAACCCTGTCAAATTTGTACAATTATAGCTTGTAACCGATTACATTATGTTCACCTGAACATGTGAATGATGGAAATCATTTTAATGAACATGGGGTAATATATATATGGCTGGTGAAGAACATAGGCCATTGATTACCTCGTTAAATTGCTATTAACATTGAATTTATGAAGGCTTTATGTACTGGGCCAAGTTCCTGGCTTTTACCTGTGACTTGTACTGTATCTACAGTATTTGTTTTCCTCTGAACATGGGTCATTAATTGACACACAGTTAGGTCTACCAAAAGATCGATATCATCTCACACTGTGCCATTTGCTGTAACACACTTGACTGAAACGATAAACCGAGGGAAAGAAGGTCTAGGCAGATTGATACACTTAC